AAAGCAATTGATATTTAGTACATGCCACTTCAATAATCAAAATGACCTCTACTTTAAAAATTGAATAAATTAATGGATTTTTTAGATAACTTTCATATAAAATTGACTCAAAAATAATCAAATTTGGACTCCATATTTACTTGGAATGAGCTTCCAATTTTGATATTTAAAAAAATTATATATATATATATATATATATATATATATATTTTTTAATTTCCTATAATTGCATAATTGATCTATGATCCTATTAATCTTGTAACCATAAGATTCCTATGACTTCATGATCCTACAATCAAACGTTTCTTTATTGCAAATATTTATGACCATATAAAAACCTATTATCATGCTTCTTTCATCACTCTATAGATCCTGAGATCATGTAATTTAATTTTTTTAATATTTGCATAGAAATTTATTTGTACAAAGTAAGTTGTAAAAAAAAACAAAGCATGCATAGTCATGTATGGCTCTCACCTTGGATTGCAGATAGTACACAACTTAGTAAATAAAAAAATTAAATTAAAAATTAAAAATCTCTAAATATAAGTAGCATTTTTTTTATTATTTTTATTGTGTTGTGTACCAATATTCGATCAAAAATGCTGCTTCACCTCTTGGATTCTTAGCTACAGCCTTTAATAAGCTCTAAAAATTGTGCCTCTTCTATGTCAGTAAGCTCCAATATAGTCACTTGACCCTACATAGCTCACCTTGCTTGCAACAAATCTCATGACCTACAATTATGTGCTGTAATCCTACAATCCTACAACCCCACATGACCTTATATCTTGTATCTCTTTAATATAATATCCACTTTATCAATTCCACAATAGCTTTACAATAGCTCAACCATATTTTGACAGTATAATATCTCAAGATAGTGACCCTGTACCACATTGTATTCTAGTAAAGTGATCCAACTTGGTTTTGGCGCCCAATACAACATTGCCCAAAATCCAACAGCAAAATGAATCCTAAATTGAATTTATTATTTTTATTTATTATTATTTTTTAAATTCTATTTTATTCTAACTTGCTATATCACAAATTGAAGAAAAGGAGACATTCTTGTTAAGTAAAAGATTGGAAATCTATACCAAACTAAGTCAAGCTATTTCTTATACCACAAAGGTAGAATCCAAAAGTGTAAGTATAAAAATGGAGAAAAGCCTAAGTTTTACTAAAGTAGCTAAATCACCATAGCCAATCAAAACCTCACAATAAGTTTTTTCTCTCTCAAAAATCACTCACAAGACATGACTTGAGAAGAATATTAAATCAAGGATTTTTTCCACATAAATATTCAAACTCTAATTGATATGAAAAAAGTCAATTAATAAAAAAACTATCAATAGATGAAAAAAATACTTATCAAATTAAATTACATACATTTGATAGGATTTGGCATCCAATGCCATATCATGTGAAAAAGAAGAAACTAAAATAGCTATATCTAATGATATGAATATCAAAGAATCTTGAAACTAGACTACAAGTAAAAAAAGTGATGACAAGATTAAAAAAGATCTCATTCCTGCCTTGATATATAATATTTAACTAGAAGCTACATAAAAATATTCTATAATATGTATAATTTATAAGATATATGTCTAATTTATAAGACAAGTTTCTTATATGTGGGCCACATGGCTAACTTATATCATATATTGCCAAATTGTTGATCAAATTTTCAACTTACCAATCACCTACAAATATACATAAAGTCAATGTTATTTCTATATAGCATTTAAGAAGCTTTTCCATAAGATACTATATAATTTATTTATTTTTATTTATTTCTATCAAATTCACCTTATCTAAATAATTATTAATATTAATTATGTCTATGATACATTATTGATGTAGTATCATATTTGGACAAAAATGCTTTGTGTGGCATATTCTAGAAGAATAAATGAAGCTTATTTTTTCTCCTTTAAAGCTTTGAAAGCAACTTAGTACTTGCCTAACATTTATTACAAAGTCTAAAAAAGCAAATTTAGTAAGAAGACAAGTTTAGAAGATAGAATTTAGAAAAGAAAAGATATTGAAAGAAATAGCAATCAAAGAATAGTTTGCTTGTCACCACAACCTAAGACCCAAATAAGGTCTATTAAGATATTTTAATTTCATCTCTCTATGTGAAACAAAAGTAAATCAAATATTTGAAAATACCTAATAATTTTTTTTTCAATATCATAACTAACATCTATGAAATAGAATTCAAATAAAGCAATAACTTTGAACCTTAATTCTTCATATTGAATTTGTATGTATATATATATATATATATATATATATCAAAAGATACTACAAAGAAAGAAGAAAGGTTAAAAAAGTGACCAAGTGGAAGTTTTACTTGATTGCACGATTTAATTCTAAAATTATCAAAAAAAATAAATTACATGTCATTCTAAGATGTTTTAGCTACTTTGTTATGGCATCTAAGAGAAATTTATCATTACATATTCTAATAATACCTGTATTTTTAAATAAGATATAAATAACTTTAATATCAAAATATTTTTATTTTTATTTTAAAAAATTAATAAATAAATCTATAAAATATTTAGAATTATTAATTAAGATATAATAAAAATAAATATCTCTAAAAATAATTATATATATTTGATAATTTAATATTTATAATATAAAATTAAATATCAATATAGTGGCAAGAATTTTTACATCTTTTAAATATAATTGGTAATATAAAATCTTAACTTATTTTTAAATTATTTTTTGAAGAACTATATATACAAACTATATAAATATGATATAAGTATAGATAGTGTAATCTTTGAACAAACATATCATTTGAGTAATTAGTCTATTAAAAAATTCAGAGTCATACATAGTAATAATAAAAATTAGAAGTTTGATTTAATTCATTTTGTTTGTTTATGTTCTAACTAACTAAGATATTCATATCAAATAGTATTTTTATTTAATAATTTTATTTCTTTCAATATTAATAATATATATAAATTAATCTATAATAAAATAAATAATATTAATCTTATTTTTATTATTTTTTAATTAATAATATCTTAAATTATATAATATGAAATTTTATTGAATTATACAATAGAAGTGTACAAATTATGCAATTTATTAGAATATTCTTAAAATTTAAGAATATGTAATAAAAGAGAGTATAATTTTAAGAATATATATATATATATATATATATATTAAAAAAATTAAATCTTGATAAATAAATTGGTTATGACTAATTTATTTTGAAATCAATTTTATTTTTTCTATGATTATTATTATTATAAAATATTAAGTATATACATAAAATATATATAGTAATAAATATATAAATTAATGATAGTTGAGTTTTAGAATTAATATTTGAATTTCAAATTCAAATGCAAAAAATTGCCTACTATTGCCCATTTAAGAACTTATTAGATTAAAAGTTAATGTGAGTCTTTTTGATAAGGAATATAATAAGTACACAAAGTTTCATAAGAAGATTGTAAGCATACTTTAAATAGTATAAGAATAAGGTACATTAATTTTAAAATAGAATATTTATCTAAAACAAAGACTTAAAATTTTTAAATGGATATAAAAAGAAATAAGAAAATAAATAAATAAATAAATAATCAATAACCAAAACATATATTTTAATATGTAACTAAAAGAAGCCTAGCATTTATAAGAGAAAACACTTATTTTTTACACATTGTATATTGGAATTCTTTAAAAAAAAATTTAATGTGTTGTCTTTGATGCTGTAGATATAAAAATAAAATAAATAATATTAATAATAATAAGATTAAAAAATAAAATATTATAGATAAATCTTATTTAATTCTTTAGATATAAATATATATATATATATATATATATATATAAGTGGTACTTTGTTGATTACGTTGCTAGTTAAATAAGTAACTGCTATTTATTTGAATAAAAATAGATAATGTTATTAATGCCACCACAATTTGCAATCCATTCTACAATTTTTTTTAATTTTGATTTTAATATTCCTTTATTTTTCTTTATTTTGATGAAAAATTATACAAATATATTCAATTTGTTTTTTTTATTATTATATAGAAACTAACTTTATTTTTAAAAATAATTAATTGAAGAGATAATAAAACTAGGTTGTAGTGACAATAAATTGTAGTAATATGTGATAGATGACAAATTGTGGTGACAATAGCAAAAATTGTGGTGGCATTAGCAACATCCAAAATTTATATATTCATGTTAATATTGTCTTAAAGAACCTTGCATTGAAGAAATAACTCATTAAAACATTTCTTTTTGTAAAATTATATTATATAATTAATTGGAAAGTTCATTAAATTTTTAATATATATATATATATATATAATATTTTTTTTAAAAAAATAGTAACTTTTACATAATTTTGATGGTAATTAAACCTCTTAAATTTGTATATGCTACTAGTTTTTTTTAATAATTGATTTGAACATTGAATCATTCTATATCAAGTGTATTTTAAGTCCTAACAATATTTTAAGTCCTGACAATAGCTCATTCTCTCAAATCCAATTTAAAAACCTGTTTTATAATTTTTAAAAAAAGGATCTAGTAAAAATTCGACATGTATTTTAGTTCAATATGACCTGATCATCATTTTTAGCAAAGACATAATCTTTGTTTTACTTCCCTCAAAACTTGATTTTATATCCTTGATTAGTAATTATTTACGATGGTTTTGACACTTAGAGCTAAATTAAAAATTTCAAACTTTAAAAATAAATGGGGGTTATAGATTATTCTTCTCCTTTTCTTCCTTCTGAAAACTACATATAGTCAATATCAAAATTAATAGTTTTCGACATATTAAGACTAAGGAATAAACATCTTCATCCAAAATCAGCATTATCAAGTTGAGAGGCCTCTACATTTACAGAGAGATGAAAAATTTGTGGAAGATGCTGAACTTTTGCTGCAATGTGAAACCACCAACTCAAAATATGCTAACACGAACACAGACGCAATCAGCATTTAAGTGGAGAACGGAAGAGTCCTCAAATGTAGAAGAAGTCGCTTCGTTTTTCATTAC